TATTAAAATATATAATTAAATAAAATATGCTATATATGTGTAAAATATTAATATATTAGTGAAAGAGTTGATTAAAAACCAAAATAAATAAAAAAATACAAAATACAAAATATAAAAATTAAAATTCAAAAATGTTAGTTAAAGCTTAATTATTAATTAAATTATAATTAAATAATTTAAATTTGCGTTAAATGAATTAAGGCAAAGACAGAGTGTGACAGTGTAATGGCGCGGCGGAGATAAAACTATATTATTGTATTTCCATTTTATTTCATTTAATCCAAATGTAATTATTTATAATCTAATAATTAAGCTTTAACAATATTTTGTAACAATATTTTTGTATATCAATTTTTGTTTCTAGGATTGATTCTCTAAAGTTGTTCTATGAATATATTAATATTTTGTATATTACATATATATATATTTTATACATTTTATATATGTATATATTATAATATATAATATACTACATTAATATATAATATTATATATTCAGTTTTTATAATATTTGACCAATTTTAAACAAAAATTAAATATAGATTTGTTTTTATACGAGAATAAATAAATATTTTTGATTTATAAATATAAATATTTTTTCTTTTTATTTACAAAATAATATTTCATTCGATTTTTTATGATGCAGTACAATAATTTAAAATAACATAATAATATAAATATTTATTAAAATAAAATAATACATATTATAAATGATCATTTATTTGTGTATATTTTATATAAATTTTATTGGGGCCCATAGACCCAAATGTATATAATATAATCATCGAATGAAATATATTACAAGATGATCCTCCCAGTCTCTAACCGACTTTTGATTTTTAGCTAGATGGCGCTTATAATTCACAAATATCTCTTTAATGTTTTCATTGGCCTGAAAGTATTCGCGATCTTTACATGGATTGGTTGTTGATCGTAATCGAAAGATTTTCACAAATCCTGCTTATGTATCGTACACCAAGGAATAGAATAGATAGATTGTATGTGAAGTGATTGCCGGTATTGCAAGTTCGTAGAGTTTAGGTCCATTGCATCGTTTCTGACGGGAAGCAACAAGTGATCACGAGAAATAGATCGCATGTATACATGTAGTATACGATAATACCTATATTGACGGAGGATATAGACGCAAGTGTGTAAGACAGTATATTCAATCAGTGTGTGTATGCGAGCACAACCGCGTGCGGGCGGTTCCCACACGTCCGTGCAACAAGTGTCATATACGGCAGCGCGATTAATTGTTTCGAAGAGCGCTGTACATGGTGTTCATTCTTTCTTCACCGGATAAAAAGAATCACCGGCAAAAATGGGCTGCGCGGTGAGTACTACCGGCGAGAAAGAAGCTGCAGAAAGATCTAAGAAGATCGACAAGGATCTTAGAGCTGATGGGGAACGGGCCGCTAGTGAGGTCAAACTCCTCCTACTTGGTAATTTCTTCTTCTTTTCTTTCCATAAATGTATCTTTTATCTAGAATAATTGTCTTAACAATTATTCTTCTTTTTTTACTTATTATGTGTTTTCTCAGAGATGATGATTCCACAATGTTTTAATGATTTGTTGTAAAAGTAGATCACTGCACTGTGTGGTCACCAAAGAAACTTTTTTTTTTCATTTGTTTTCCCATTAATTTTTTAAGATAATATTTCAATTGTTTGATACTTACTCTAAATAATTTTTTCACACTAGTTATATTCTCATCAATTATTGGATTTGTGTAATCATGGAAGTATATCGCAAGCAATTTTCCGAAAACTTTGAATCATCATTTAGAATGAATCATTAGATATCATGTTCTCAATCTATAGCTATAGTCAGATAGATTATGATTTATGAATATTGATGTTTTTTATTAAAACGAAAAAATAATGAAAATCAAATATTACATATAATATATTCATTAAACATTTGAATATATGTTTGCCTTTTAAGGAGCTGGAGAATCTGGAAAATCTACTATAGTAAAACAAATGAAAATTATTCATGAAACAGGCTACAGTAAAGAAGAATGTGAACAATATAAACCTGTAGTTTGCAGTAACACAGTTCAAAGTCTTATGACAATAATTAGAGCCATGGGTCAGCTTCGAATTGACTTTGCAGATCCTAATAAAGCGGTAAACATATTAATTTTAAGTGAAAAATATCTTATATAATCATAAAAATGTATTATATATTAGATCATACATATTTTATTAGTAACAACAAAAATTAATTATATTATAGGATATAGCACGTCAATTTTTTACCCTAGCCTCTGCTGCAGAAGAGGGTGAACTAACAGGGGAACTGGCATTATTAATGAAACGATTATGGCAGGATGCTGGAGTACAACTTTGTTTCACCCGCAGTAGAGAATATCAACTAAATGATTCAGCAGCATATTATCTTAATGCTTTAGATCGTATAGCTCAGCCTAATTATATTCCTACTCAACAAGATGTTCTTAGAACACGTGTAAAGACAACAGGAATAGTGGAAACACATTTTTCCTTTAAGGGTTTACATTTTAAGTAAGTTAATTTTAAAATATTTTCATTAATTTTATATTGTGAATTTTATATTGTTAAAATTTTTCTGTTCTATCAGAATGTTTGATGTAGGAGGTCAAAGATCAGAAAGAAAAAAATGGATACACTGTTTTGAAGGAGTTACTGCTATCATTTTTTGTGTTGCATTAAGTGGATATGACTTAGTACTTGCAGAGGATGAAGAAATGAATAGAATGATAGAATCAATGAAACTGTTTGATTCTATTTGTAATAGCAAGTGGTTTGTTGAGACATCAATTATTTTATTTCTAAACAAAAAAGATCTTTTTGAGGAGAAGATCACAAGGAGCCCATTAACTATTTGTTTCCCAGAATATAAAGGTGCTAACACTTATGAAGAATGTGCTTCTTACATTCAAATGAAATTTGAAAATCTGAATAAAAGAAAAGATCAGAAACAAATTTATACACATTTTACATGTGCTACTGATACATCTAATATTCAGTTTGTATTCGATGCTGTAACTGATGTTATAATCAAAAACAATTTGAGTAATTGTGGTTTATTAAGTTAAATATTTTAATACTCAAATTAAAAAGAGTAAATTGATATTCAAGGTGTATAAACTTGTCTAAGCACAAAAGATATACATGAGACTGAAAACAAATTGTTAGAAACAGATATGTTTTGGGTATATTCATATATACCAGTTATGCAATATCTTCATTTTCTCATTTCATTTTTTTGCAATATTTGGATATACATAACATTATGAAATAATTTGTTAAATCCTATATTTCATTTCTTATATTTTTTTTTTATGCTAAAATTTATGACACTTCTTTGCAATTAATTAATTTTAAACTTATTGATTTGTTTTAAATGACAAATAATTTTAAATTAAAATACTTGAAATTATGTTATTTTGATAAAAATAAATATTATTTGCAGATAAACAAATATTTGATATCTGCTAAATATGTTTAGTATATTAATCAGAAATTAGTTAGCTATTAATTTAGTAATATCGTTTTGTATATAATTTATTGATTAAAAGAAATATGTTTATACTGAATGGAAATATATTTCCATAACAGTGTTCAAAGCCATTCATTCCTTTTATAATAAATTGTTCATACAGCAATGACAGACACAATTCATTGTGTTAACAGTATATATTTATATACAAGTTAAATTTGATAATAATTTTTGTAAAACTTTTTTATACGTATCATTAGATAATATTTAAAGTGTTGTCATTATTGTACTATCTGTCAAATAAATGACAATATTAGGATTAATTACAAATTTAGAAAACACTTTTATTATATTACTGAAATAAATAAAATTTTTTTAAAAAAATATTTTTTTGAAATCCTGTGTTTTATACTATAAAATATTATAAAATATAAAGTGATATTAACAAAATAATGAAATTTTAAAAAGTAATGAATGTATATCATTTAAATTAAAAATTTAAAAAATTTTTTACTAACATCATCTCTATTTATATTTAAAATATATGATTCAATTACAAAATTCATAATTTGAATTTAATTTATAATTTGATCTTTTTAAAAAAATATTAAAAAAATAATCGCGCAAGTACTTATTGTTCCGAATTTTATAGAATAATTAAGAATATTTTGTTCATTGTATAAACAGAATCTCATTTTACTTGTATCAATTTATATTATACATACATGTATAATAATACAACACATGTGAAGCTATAAAATAAATATAGTAATATCTTTTCTAACAAAATACTGATTGATATTTCTATATTTTTATAATAATGACCTTTATGTATATTCATAAAATATTTTATAAGAAAATATTTTATAAGAATACTGTTATTTAAGTCTTTTATTTTTTTCAACATTATATTCAGGAATAAATTTAAAATTTTTCAATTTTCAAAAAATCATCTTGATCATTTATTATATTTAAAAAAAAATATAGCAAGATGTATGTAAATAAAGGGGAAAAATATAGTCAATAAATTTTAACATTAATCATAAAATTAATATATCTAAAAAATATAACTTTTGTGGCTTTTTTATTTTAAATAGAGCAATATAGCAATAACAATATTTTTTTTTTTTATATTTAGCCACAATAAATTTTTTCAAAAAGTTATATCAATATAACATTTTTAACAGCACAAATTTTTTTTAACATAATTATTTCAATTGTTTTAACAATTATTAAAAAAACTTTTAAACTATATATATTTGTAAGTTCTGTATATGGTCTATATTATTTTTATAATCAATTTGAAATAATAAATTTGTTTACATGCAAAGTAGGAAATTGCACAAGTGAAAACTTAAATTCTTATATTGTTTGGAAACTGAATTTCTATCAAATAAATGAAAATAATCACAGAATAAATTTAAAATTTGCAGTATGCTATATAGCTTTACATTATATAGAAGCGATCTATTCTGTTAATTTTTATCATTATTTATAAATTAACTACACAATTACACATTCTGAATTGTTTTTTGAATTAAATAGATTCAATGTGGATTTCTAGCCGGAATAGGCGGTCCACCTGATGTTCTTGCTGGAATTGGTGGCGGAACATTTGAAGTAGGTAAAATAGGTGGAGGATGTTGTGGAGGAGGAGGAGCTTGTCTTTGGGGTAGCGGAGGTGGTTTAGAACTGGGTGATCTATTAGATGATTCTTGCAAAGGATCTGTACGAGGTAGTGGTGGTGGTGGACGGTTTGGTATAGGATAATTAGGTGATCCATCCAATATTTCTTCATAAATTGCAGATTCTGGTGATAATCTTTCACTTTGTTCAGATTCTACTCTTTCTCTAGATAATGGCGTTAAGAATTGATTGGGCAACACGCTAAATACACCAGCACGTGGTCCTTGTTTTCGATCTTGTATTGGACTTTTGGGTAGTTGAGCTGGACGACCTGGTGGTGCTGGTCTAGGTGGAGGAATTACTCCATTTGGACTACTTCTACTAGAAGATGACCGTTCTCCTATGTCTAATTGTTCTAATCTTTGAATTGAATTTCTTATTAGAGAATTTGAAACAAATTGCGCAACTGTAGTATTACTACAAAGTTCTATTTCTTTTTCAATTAATTGCACCCAATTCGGTGATTTCAAAGATAATTTTAAGGTTTGGCCACATACTTGAGTCATACCTTTCCTTGCTGCTGACAAAGCACATTGCCCATCTCTAAATGTTACCCAGATTGTTTCACCAACGAATCTAACAAGAATTACTTCGCCAATATGAGAGAAATCTTGTAATAATGCCATCATAAAATTTTCATCAAATATGCTGTCTATATCATCTGATTCTTCAATTGCTTTTACTACTATAGTGCCATCAGGTGGACCTAAATCTTGAATCACTTCTTTAAATACCCGTTCACGTTTTTCAGATTCAACACAATGAATATCTATATCTATTATAGCAATAACTGGTCGATGATCGCTTTGTTTTAATTCTGCCCTACCATAATGTATCAATTTTCCTGGATTCCAATCTGTAGGAGAATCTAAAATAGATAAAAACAAATGTTATTATTAATAAAAATTATAAGAATATTAATTAAAATGATAATTATACAAAACTAACCAATATCAGGTACTTGTTTTCGACGTTTCCATAATATTCTATCAGTCCATGCAGGTTGACGACATTTTTCACTAGTATCATAATCATCAGAAAAAAGATCATACTTATATGTTGGAGCAAAAATAATAGGACCTTCCAAAAAATTTTTAAAGACATTTCCATGATTCTGTTGAACCTATTTTCAAAATATTAAAAAAAATATTTTTTAAAGTATTTTTTATAGTTTGTACAGAGTATTTACTTTATATTTACCTTCAATTGATCATGTTGTAATATTTGATTAAATTCATTTTTTTTTATCATTTCTTTCATTTCATCTTTATCCATATCAACTCTATAATTAAAATCTCCACACCAAAATACATAATCATGAGTATTCAATGTTCTTCCCATAGGAAATGTAATTTTTCGTGTTATTTCTGCATAATCTGCATTACGTTCATTAACTTGACTTTGTCCAGCAGCGAAATGCGCGCAAACGAAACAGAAAGACGTAGAATACAATACACATCTAATAGCTGCAGCTCCTTTATTTCCTGTTGCACCTCCTAATCCGGTTTTAACACAATCTACAGCTACATCTCTTAAATAAGGTGCATGCTTAGGTCGTATAAATAAATAGAGACAAACGCCAACTAACTGTTGATAGGTAACCAAAACATATTCAGTATCTCGGGAAAGTACTTTTTGTAATTCCTCTGCCCAAGCTTTTGCATTATCGGTACTAGCCGCCATTATATTGCTAGCATTTAAATCAACAATTTCTTCGAATCCTATTGCAAATATATCTACAGGAACATTATCATATTCGACTGATACTAAAGCTATAAAAAAATAAATAACTCATAAAAATATATTTCATTAATAAAAATAAACATATTTAAATTGTTTAATTAAATAATTAATTAATTTAAATTAAACTTACATGATGACTTTTGTGGAGCATCTAGTAACCAATCAGAAAGAGATACATCTTTATATACAACACTTCGGAAATGTTTTCCTCCATTAACATTATAAGTACCTACACTTATTCTAAGATTCATTGTAGTTACATATTCATTATATCTTTTGCACATTTCTCTGAGAACGCTGGGTGGAGCGTGTAACATATTTGAAGGTAAAAGTAATCGAGCTCTATCCGCCAATTCTGTATTTAATGTTGATCCCAATAATAAGATGTCAATAGCCTCTTGTTTACTGGAGTCTAATAAATTATTTTGTATTGTTCTAGCTGCAGATCTTGCACCATCCATTAATTTTGAACTTCCTTGAATTGCCCCAGTACCAGCATATATTTTACTTACTTCATTACCATTGTTGATCCACATTTGTCTAAATACTTCTTCAAATCTTGAAACCATCTGTTGCTTTTCAAGTAACTTTAATAATCCAAGTTGTTTGCCAAGTATTTCTAATGCAAAAAATGTTTGTACACAATTTGTTCTATCTAGACAATCGAGACAATTTGTTCTAATAGTTCCAGTTTGTTCAAGAATGACAGTATTACCAGCCGCATAAAACAATGAAAATGATTCTAAATATTTATCTATTTTTGCTTTTAATTTTGAAAGATTTTTCATATTTCCACCTCTACATTCTTGATGATAATCAAATAAAATATGAGGCACATCATTATGTTCTGACATATTATGATGAGTCTGGAATAACTGACTTAACATTGCTTCTCCTTCTTTGCTCCCAATTAGACTAGATCCAAGAAGATTGACAATTATTTGCTGCCCATACCTTTCTTTAATTATATTTAAGTGTCTATTAAAAGCAGGTGCAGATGCTTCAAAACCACGAGAAATTTTCACTTTATGAGAACCAACTTGAATACCAGGTTGCTCCCAGAATAAAGGAACTGATCCTCTAGTTTGTACATAAGAGGTTACTTCATTATCTAAATATATTACTTGCTCTGTTTCTACAAAATTTGCTACATGACCATCATCATTAGTTCCTCTGACATTAAACCTAGATAATAAATATAAATTTATAATATGATATTAATGTTAAATATAATTTTGATTTTTAATGATGAAATTATCAAATATACAAATATATTTTTTTTTAATTATAATTGTACAATTAAAAAATAAAAATTATATTTATTGTTATCATGAAAATGTTGCTGTTTGAATTATCATAATATTATTATATATAGAAATATACATAGTATATTTAAAAAATTTTTAAATTATTAAATTGAAATAAAAAAAATAAAAAATTATTGACTTTTTTAATATTTTTGATTATATTCAATGAATAAAGTCTAAAAATATCACTTTTAATAGCAAGAGTTTAAAAATTATGTTTCTCTGAAATTTAATGTTAATATATCTAATAAGATGAATCCATATACAAATTGAATTGTAATGGTAATAAAAAACAGATACTCTATATTGATTCATTATTAAGATTATAATATAACAATTAATTTCATTAGTTTTTTATATGTATTTTAATAAATAAAATAAAATTGCTAATTAAATTTTTATTTGTCAAAATTAAATTTTGATTTACAATAAATAAAAATTTTATTAATCTTATTTCTTGGATACTTTGTAAATATCCAAGATATTAAATTAGATTTAAATTCTTATAACTGAATTTTATAAAATAATTTTCTGATAATTTCCTCATAAATTAGATAATTTATATTTAATTAAAAATAAATTAAAAATACCTTGTGCCTGCACGTTCGCAACTCAATCTTGATATAAGAACAGCACGAGCTTGTCTATGACCAACATATACAGTTCGAATTTCCACACTACCACACATTGCTTTAAGTAACCAATGAGATGTATCTACACCATATCTTAATAAATGTATATGTAACATTCGATTCCTGTTATTTGATAAGAAAAAAAAAAATATTTAATATTATATTTAATATTAAAATTTAATATTAAAATTTTGCATATATATGATACTAACCAGAAGAATCTATTATCAGTTATTGTAGATTTACATCGCCTTTGTGCACTAAGAGTAATATCAAGAGGTTCTTGGTTATTAGCAGACCAAGAAATATAAAATGTACCTGAGTTTAGAACTTTTCTGACTTCAGATATACGATCCTCATTACCTTGTGTGTAATGAAGTGGTACAAAATGAGTCTGTGTAATTCTAAATACTTCTGATTCTCCTATTTTACCAACCGAAAAACAACCAGTGACAAGAACAAGATACAATAAAGTATTTTCGCCTGCATTTAATTGCAAGACACCTAAACATCCATATGCATCTAATAATTTTGTATATTTTCCTTTTAAAGTATCTGTTTCTTCAGCAGCTGTAAATTAATTCAAAATTACAAAATACATATAGAATCTATTTGATAAATATTTATTTTTATACTTTTTAAAATAAAATTTTAAATAAGAAGAAAATTAAAAAATTAAAAATCGAGAATATTTAAAAAAAATATTAATTATGATAAAAATACTTACAAAGTACAGCAACTGCCTGTGATTCAAAAAGAACAGTTTCCTTTCGATTTCGTTGTTCTAATATAAGTGAATGAGGACTAGGTGGCTTTAATTTTTCGTAAACGCGAAATCCTTTACCCATCGCCATTGTTGTATTAATATCTTTGAAAGTTTTAAAGATAAATATATGTTTTGGTAGAATATGACAGGCCCGTCTGTCATATGGAAAAGCGTGATTACCTTACTCTTATTATGTTTTCTTTCTGTCACTTTACTTATCACAACAATAATAAACTTTTCTCTACTAGTTAACAGAGGAAGAGTAGCGCTCTTTTCGCTAATCCGTCAATACTTCGATATTTTCGCAATATATACATCGCGATTTCACGAAGTCTACAGTCTGCTTGTCTAACCGTAACAATCAATCGAACGCGCCATTTTAAAATTTTAAAAAGTTAAATATGTAACAATTTTTCGCGCCATTAATATCAGTTAAAATATTACTTTAAAAATTGCATTAATCGTATTTCTATGATTAAACTTTTCACAAATAAAAATAAAATAAATGCTATTATCAGAAATTTAAATAAAAATATTAATTTTTAATACAATTTATCAATTTTTACTTAAAAAAACACTATTTTGAAATTTTTAATTTTTTTATTTTTAAAATAATTTATTTATTTATTTGTGTAAATTGTTTTTAAATTTTAAAAAAATTATATTCTACTATTATTAAAAAGTATTTTAGATTAAAAATAACCATAATTTAATAATTTAATAATTGTGTATTTAAATAGGAACTATTTTACAAAATTATAATATTGAATATATTTAATATATTTTATATATTATGAAATGATATATAAAATTTTTTTCTTATATCAACTTAATAATAAAAAAAAAATTTTGAATATCATATTGAAATTTAAAAAGTTAATTCTTTAAGATACCAAAATTGAAATTGCTTTATTGTTTTATTAATAGTTTCGTTTAATGTTGCTGATATTTAAATTATAGTTAATAAATTACTAAGCTAAATTATTAACTAAATTAAATTAAATTGAGTTAATTTAATTTTAAATTATACTTCTATTATTGTTTTTTTATGCCAGAGGTATGAAAATGCATAAATTTTTTATTTAAATAAGAATATAGGATGAACATTATTTTTTATACTTACTTATTTTGGCTAAATCTATCAAATATATCCCACAAATATATTGTAATATTTTATATACAATTATATAATATAGAAGATACATTAAAATATTAAAAAACAAAAATTTTTTAAAATAAGTCTTTCAAAATTAGAATAATTTTTTTAATGCTTTTTGTTATAATATTTTAATTATATTAATTCAATGTATTCAACATTTTGACTCACTTTAATGATTATATATAAAAGATACATAGCTTATTGTGCTAAATTTTATTTCTTTTAATGATAATTGTTACATTTATTTCCACAACAGCCATTAAGTTTAAATAGGATTCTTTATTAAAATCATTCATATCTATTCTAAAGTATTGTATATAAATAGTTGAAAAAAAGTTTAATTATGCTATGTTTTTAGTGGATGTTCTTGATCGTTGCATGCATCTTAAGTTTAATTATAGAAAATGTCACATATATTCTTTTATATTACCACAATATTTACATAATAAAGGTAGCATCTAATTAAATTATTAGGCTATTTTTTGTTTTTTTTATTGTTGTTGTTTTTTTCATATTTTTATTTTTATATATTGGTAGTGAAATATTTCTTAATAGTAACACTGCTTAGAGGAATATCTGAGGATAAATAAAATTCATATTTAATCTTATTTGATAAAATAAGTAATATAATGCTATCATGAAATCAATGATTCATATTATATTTTTTGTCAAATTGTCAAATTCATATTATATTTTTTGTGCAATAAGCATTCATAGAAATAGTCAATCAATAAAAATCTTAAATATGAATTTTGTAGAAAGCACTGTAATTATATAATATTCATGGAATACTCTTAGACTAGCAAATTATACATTCTATATCAAATTTTAACAATCAGTCGATACAAATCAATACTTTCTTATATTTTTTTTCAGTGATTCTCTCTCTCTCTCTCTCTCTCTCTCTCTCT